AGTTACTAAAATTAGCTTCAATTGACTTTTTAAACTACAAAGGTGACAAACGTTTGATGCAAAGTTGACTTTATTTTGCCCTCTAGTGGTTTTGCACACATACAAATCATTTTCAGAAATCTTCAGAACACTATTTGGTGTTATTCAGTGATGATGCGATATTTTAAGATCAAGTCATAATTTGTGGGTTTCAGTGTTGGAGAATTTAAATTTCAAAATGATCTCCTTTATCTATCATGTCATCTTCTAAATCACTAGGCCTTCCCCTAGTCAGCCCTGATGTATGTCCTCCACCTGCAGCCTCCCAGTCCAGCCGTAGTCTGCTACCCTGCCCGTCTCAACAGCCACAGCAGCCACAGCCCCAGGCTCCACCTCAGACTGCCCTGCTGCCCACACCGCCGCAGCACCCTATGAGCAACCACATGATTGCTCAGGTAAGTTATCTCCACTACCAACCAAAAACGGATGCAATGGCACATTAAATTTGTGGTTTAATATAGGACGTCTGTTTGAGAGTCTGTTTTTCTTTTTGTTTTCTTCGGTGTAGCAGAAGAAAGAGAAAAACATGAGGTATTTAAGTGGCCATGACTGCTAGTGTAACAACTCTTACTTAAATGTGCATACTGTAATTAAGAAAGGACTCAGTGCTGTTTATTCAGCTGTGTACGGAAAAATGTTAGACAGTCCAGTTTATTCATTGAAATTGATTATTAAGGGCAGCAGTGTAATTTCAGGTATAAATATCCTGCAGACAGTGAAGCTGCCTTATTTCTCCTTGTCATACACAGCTCATCAGTGAAAAAATAATTTGAAATGGAAACTTGGCCTTCTCAGTGTCCTACTCACAAACACTTTTATTACTTATTAAAAGTGAAAGAAAAAGTTGAAATGGCTACAGATAAAACATGCTCTTAATTAAAATAAAATTATTAGACCCAGAGTTGTTTAATATATGGTCGACATCACTTTTACTTAGGCCTGCATGCCACATTTTTATTCTCCAGAGCGAGGGAGAACTTTAAACACAGACACTGTGTGCATATTGTTCTACAATCACTTCCAGGGTGTAGTGACCTGAGGACATTCCGTTCAGAACATTTGGGATTATTGCATATCCCGTTACACCCTATCGTTATCAGGGAAAAAACAGAGACTTTGAGGAGGAATGGATGGAAACAAGTGCAGTGAATTGAACATATTCAGCTTATATATAGAATCAATGTCAACCATCCTCCTTTAACAGGTTTGATTTTTCAAATAACGTCACAGTCGATAGTCTTTGATTGCACACATTTCCTTTTCTTCCTTTTTTTCTTAGTAGTAATAATTACACTTAATTTTTTTTATATATAATTTGTTTGTGTAATATTTAGAAAAAAACTTGATTTCCATTACTATCCTCTCTGCTCATTAACAACTTTTCCTTTGTGTTCTAACCCTCATTTTTCCTATGTCTTCATTTCTGTTTTTCCCTTCTTTTCACTGCTTCTGTTGCCGTGTTCTTTTCACTACCTTGCTTCAATCTCTCTATGCTCTACCTCTTTATTTCATCCCTTTTTTTGGTGTGTATAGCCGGTGGCGTCTCTGCAGCCCTCTCAGCCTGTCTCCTACTCCAGCCCTTCCTGCCCCCAGGTTCTCCTGCCAGTTTCTCCTCCCCAGCAGTACACAATGGTACTGACACGTATTATAGCTTCATCTCTGTTATACTCATTCAGTTAATGACTGACACTTTAGCTGATGCCATATCCTACTAAAAACTCCTGCACTCATTTACTATCCTGCTTACATTCATTCAGGGGAGTCAAAAAACATGTCTTGGCTCATTCAAGATGTGAGTGTGTCTGCAAATACATTTAAGTAATAGCTTTTTCATATAAATTGGTGTTACTGTCTAAAGTGGATTCAGTGAGTAAATGTTGTGTCTGTAGTAACAAAAGAAATGGCAAGGATGTGTCCAGTTTGTTCCTGGCTCCGTTTTTTGTTTTTCTCTTTTAAATCGCTGCGTCTGTATGAGTGCAACCACGGTTGCCCACAGAAGCAGAGTTTGAGTTTGGTTGTGTTTACATTGGAACAGTCATTTGAAAAAGAGTTTTCACTTGACTCTATGCAGTCCTTTCTAAAATTACTTACTGCTTCCATAATAATGAAGAGAATAAGCAGCACTTTTCTTATATGGATAATCAGATGCACTTGATTAACTGATCATCAGCAAGTGTAACCACCTCTCCAGGACTGGCCATCCCTACAACGTCGCACAAGATCAAACCACCCAAAAAATTATTTTTAAAAAATGTGATACTCTACTGGCCTCAGTTACCTTGTTAAATGTTAAAAGTTCATGCAGTACAATTAGAAAAAGACTGAACAACTGAGGAGTTTTTGGGAAGCGTTACCAGAAGCTGTAACCTGAAGCAACTTTCTAAACGAAGCACAGCTTTTTTTCTGCCCCGGGGCCTTGCAATCACTCACTCAACCGTGAAATCCTCCGTATACCAAAGTATTCTAGAGTCAGAGCTGTCTGAGAGCAAAAGGTGGCTGAAACCTGTCACACACCCTAGGATCATTGTCCTGTTGCAACAGTCATGCAAGCGCAGCAGCAAATCTATGACAGAATAACTGGAAAAGAAAAGACTCAACGTGGTGTAATGGCCCCAGTCAGAGATGAGTTCTGCCTGATTTAAAATGC